TCATTTCCTGCATAAACGACATAGGCTACCTTGCCATGTGTGGATTTCGGTTGCTTGAGATACCTGTGTGGTGGAGCTGGGGCAGGGGAACTGGTGCGATCATCGTTCTCTTCCATCTCACCTCCAGCGCCATCTGTGTTCAACCTAAACCTGTCGTCGATAGAGGTTTGGGCCACATGTGTAGCAGAGCCAATGAAGGCCTCGTCCCCATTCGTTTCCGGTTCTGTGGTAGGAGATCAACCAGGAGTAACTAGAGATGGGGCACTTACCATGCTTGACGGCATAGGGCGACCCAAACCTTTGACCAGTGGGTGGTTGCGCACGCAAAGGGAAGTCTGACAGTGCAATGTCAATGAAATGGGGAGGTAGGTACACTGCAGACGACTTACTGGGCATAGCGTACAACGAGAACAGAGGTGTGGCGAGGTAGGGGACTCAAAGACACAACGTCGATGTTGTGATGAGGAGCAAGAAGTGTCACGGTTGGTTGATTGTTGATTGTTGATTCACCTACACGTGATGCCAAACACTCGTCAACTCAACGTCAACTGCTGCTCATCCCACCATTGCCCCCAATGGCCTCACGCTCCTCATCCCCGTATGTCGTACCTGCAGAAGAAGATCCGTCTACTCACGCAGGCCGCAATTCTTCCCAACCTCAACAACAAACACGAGTTCTAACGAAAAACACGCTGTCGCAAGCTCAGAAAGCCACGCGTTCCCTTCGCCAGATTTCCGACCATGCAAAGGCTGAGGAGCTGGCAAAAGCTCTTGATGTTCTCCTTTCCCGCCACCGCACCGAGCTGGAAGATTTCGCAAAAGCACACAACACGAAACTGGAGTACATCCAGAAACTCACCTCTCAGTCAAGCCACTACAAGCAAAAACGAGCCGTCACGATTCAGAACGCAAAGTTACATGCAAAATCCCTGGAGGTCAACGGAGGTATGTACATAACCCACCACTACATCAAGCTACATGTTAACAGCTCTGTTCAAAGATCTTGAACTCGGGGATAGGATCAAGGTGAAGGAACTTCGTCAACTAGTACATGATGACCCTACCTACCAGAACCTTACCGCAGAGGAGGAAGAACGGATGAAGCAGGATGTCTTGGAGCTTCGTGAGCAGAGGAAAACCGGCGCTCGTCCAACAAACAAGTCAGCAGCCCAAGACTACCGTGCGCAGATGACGCAGATGAACAATGAGGCGCGTCGTCCTCTCATCTCACTTCCTTATTGCTGACGCTCTTCAGATAAGTGCACTGTCTGACAGAACAGGAGCTGCAGTCGTCGCTTTCTTTAGCCGCTCCAACCTTGAAGACACGTTTGAGCCGAACTGGATTTGCTCTCCCAATGCCGCAAACTTCTCTCAAGAGGCAATGAGCTACGGGATGTGGGACATTGCCCGGCTGTTGGAGCAGTGGGCATGTGCAAAGGCGAAAGGTAGCCGCACCGTCGACACACTCTCGACGATGCAGAAGGAATGCAGCGCGATCATCAACGGCACTCTCAGTAAGTCTTTTATACCGTGTCTCGTCGTTTCTTTGAACTAAAGCTACTGAACAGAAACGGTTTCGCAATCACGACAGGCCCTCATGAACTACGCCAACTACGATACGAAGGTCGTTGAACGATACCAGACCAAGCTCATGGGCTGGACCTACCGTGAATTCAAGAGCCCGTTCGACATCCACACCATCGACGATGTTCGCACATTACTGGAGGCACTTCAATGCGGTAGGTGCTGTTGGGTAAGGATGACCAGAAGCGACATAAATCACCACAAAGATGACGTTAGCAAGAGAATCGCAGCGGGTGAAAAGGTGGGGAAGGCAAGGCAGCCGAGGTCGGACAAAGGTGTCAAGAGGCCGCGGAAGAAAGCACCAGGGACAGGGGAAGGCGAGGACGATGGGGCCCCACCAGCGAAGAAGCAGAAGAGGGGGAAAGCCGTGCCCGAGACGCGCGCTACGACAACCAAGAAAGCGCCCAAGAAATCCAAGAAATCCCAGCTGCCCCCCACCCGTCCCACCAGCAACGAGTTTGTTGAGAGCGATGCTGATGTTGATAGTGCCTAGCTTACTCATTGAATGCCGTATGCCGTGTACCCTCCCCCATACCCTACAACAACATGATCATCACCTCCATACATATGTCTTTCATAACCTTGCTGTAATAAAATGCCATTGATCTACATACCACTGTGTTACACAAAAAAAGCGAAGGGAATGGATTGTTATTGAGGGGGATACACGTTGTCGGCGTTGCGCACGACGAGCTCGACGCGTTGCCATCAACAACGGTGAGTAAGGGTTCTTCGTGATGACATCGAACCCTTTATGGGCAGGAGCGCAATGCCGCCAAGTGCCAAACACCGGTGACTGGTATTCATGGTTGCCGGTGAGCACAGGTAAGAATTTATTATAAAGTCCCTACGCACTACTGGTAGTTATTGCCCAGAGCGTTACAAAAGCCATATTTGATCGAACTAGACAGGAACAAGCATATCTTGTTCCTGTCTAATAGGACCAAATAGGTGGGGTTCACAGGTGCTGCGGTGGAAAACGATCATGATGACAGCATGATAACTCCAATTTATAAGCATGCCCAACGCAAACTTTTGCCTCACACGCATACCGCTCTATGGCTGTGGATCTAGTTACCATCATTCTGCGAGGCTTCAAAATATCCTTGAGCGACATCATCGTCTCATGTAGATTTGGCTAAAGTCGTGTTGATGATGGGGAATTTATGACAGGCATCATGGTACAAGATGGATGCATCACTCCTCAAGCGCAAGTCTCCGCCAATCACGATTCAATCGGCGAAATTTCGAAAGGTTGATAATGCGTTTATATAGTTAAACAGTTCCATTTCTCCACAAAAACATGCCAGGTATATTGTATGCCCATCGAAAGAAAATGAGTTGTGTGGCTGATAGACCAACTGTGAGCTTAAAAAAAATGTAAATTGTAAAATTGTCAAGCTACCGATTTTACGGTTCCCCCGATTGTCTGCCATCCCACACGCCACCATCGAGCATTCCCGGATTCACCTCACGCTTGTCCTCGGTCGCGATTGCCGAACCATCTAACCACGAAAAACCCTGTGGTCGACCGAGAACAGCCGTTATGTTCCGCCGCCAAGTGCCATGAGAAAAGGGATTGGGAGGTGGAGGTCCAGGCACGAGGGTTTTATGCGCTTGGTTTCGAATCTGAACAAAAGTGATTTGAATCATTCATCCACAATATAAAAATTAAATACTCACTTGTTCGATGGTGGTGATATTAAGAAGTAATAACTAAACATAAAAACCAGTGAGCAAGGATTCCCCGGTTAGACGTCGAGATAACGACCGCCACAGAGCTAGGAGTAGAATAATGGGCGCAAACGTACCCGCATATGATACGTCAATAAGGCACCAACAGGCCAGATAACAGCGATAGCTAAGCAAAATGCCACTGCACTGCCTGCGCCTCGCCGCAGCGCGTGTTTAAAGTCTATATGTTCCCGTTTTGTCAAAAAGAATAAATGCAGGGCCGAAGTACAGATGATTAAGATCAGTGTTGTAGTCTGGGCGCCGAGTTAGCAACGCAGATGGTTAATATTGAACTAAGACTTACTGCAGACGTCAAGAGAACGAAAAAGGTGGTATAGTTACGTCTTCCAACACAGTTATTTACCCATTGGCAGTGGTGATCACATCCATCCACGCAGTTGTCGCACTAGCATAGAAGGTCAGTTAACTGTAAGTCCTCATAAAAGCACAAACCATTTTGCAATGGCTAGAGCGCGGTGGTCTGTATGTTTTACATGTTGGACAGTATTTCACACGCACACTAATCGTAGGATAGATCAGGGAAAGATAAAGATGTTTGTCAACTTTGCACTCACACGTCGCTTCGAACCTTAAGGTCTCGAGGCATCGGTGCTCGAACACCTCCGTCCGACGGAGAGGTAGATGGGTATGGTGGATCAGGGTCCAAATTGCGAGGTAAGATTCCAGGATCACAAGTCGCCTAGAGCAGATGTCAATCTTTCAGTGCAAGCAAAAAGGGACTGGAGCGGAATACAGACTGTAGCAAGCATAGTTGAGATTGTTAGAAGAGCCAGATATGCACCAACCGCAGCTACAGCCGGACTTTCATTCTTCCACCACCAAACAGCTGTTGTCCCAAACCAGACCCCAGATATTGTTAAAACCAAAGTGAAAGAAGCCACAAATGCCCACGGCGAATCACCGCCTGTCAGCAAGTGGCCCCCAAAGAAGAATCTATTCCGTGACGGGTGAAGCTGGTATCTTCGTAAAGATTTACCAGTTTGGGGGTCGATCGTGGGCATTGCAGACAAAGGAGGTATGCGATTCGGAGGAATGGGAACGAACGACGGATCTGGGGAGGGTGATGGCGCGGAAAGGAGCGCAGAGTTGCGAGATGTTCGAACTTCCAAGGAGTGGCCGCCATAGTGATTCGGTGAATGTTTGTATCGCCCAGGAGTGGTCGGAGAATCCTGAAACTCACCCCGTTCCTCGTCACTCAATTTTCTCTCGAATGGTGGTTGCCCCTCCACGGAGTGTGCAGGCGGTGTACGTGAGCTAGTGGATTTTCGGATAGAGTCAAAGCTCAGTCCCCTGCTTATGCTGAGCACCTTGTCGAGGCTACTCCGCATCAGACGAGTTGGGCCACGGCCAGACATCGGCGCAGATAAGTTTGACCCGCTGCGATCCCGTGTGCCAGAGGCACGAGGAGCAACAGCGACGCGTCCGCCCAAGGGAAGAAGGGGTTCGCGACTCTGCTTCATTCTCTTCAGAGACGTGAATTGATGGTCATCAGCCAAAGACTCCGCTCCAACTATGCTTTCAGCGACCTGCTCGTCCGATCCATTGGGGTGAGATGACGGAAGGGGAACAAGTTGAATTTGGTTTGGATCTTGACCATGTATTGAAAGACCATGGACGGAAGAGATGGAGCTAGGGCGTGAATATCGCGGCTGTTGGTTTGGACGAGAGGGGCGAAAAAAGGAAGCGGAGGGCTGGATACCACCAGCATGGGTCGAACTTATGTGTATGGGGTGGGGAATCGGTGCGCTTGCCGACGTTGGGGAATTAGGTAGTGAAATGTCCGCAGATACGCGGCTGGATACAGATGAAATCCCGCGAGTGTGTATAGTAGGGCTCGTTGAACCAGAAATACTTGTGACGGTGGCTCCGACCTGAGGTCTTTGTGACGCTGGGGCGTGAAGCGTCGTCGGTAATGGGAGTTGAGAGCCTGTGGATCCGCGCTTAGGGTTTGTGTTGAAAGTCTGCTGGATCGAGGGCGAGAAAGACAAGGAGTGTGGTGTCGAGGCCATATTGTCGCGATAAAAAAAAAGAGATACGCCTTGCAGAACCTGGTGTTCGCAGGCAAGGAAATTATCAGAAAATCGTAAGGTTGGCTAATTCAGAGACTCGGATGGCATGAATGTGAAGAAGATTGCCTTTGTCGTTGCCGACGTCTTGAGTGCTGCAAACACCTGGCCAAAATGATTGGCACAACGGTAGAGGGTATGACATTTCCCACGATTCTTAGACTCTCAGCTAGCACCAACGACAGCCCCATAATTATATGTGGTATGTAGTAAAGTAGAGCAGGCAGAAATGGGGATAGAGTGCATTTCAAAGGAGAGTGCCTACTACGGATGAACAGATTATCGACACACGCGACCATAGCGCCTAAACTTGGTATTAGTTACTTACTGCCAATAGCTTTGACCAACTCCTACCAACTCGTTGTCAAACATTCGGCCTTTAATTCTAAAGGATTCCTCATTCCATGAGAATGTCAGGTTGGGCTAGAGGAGGCTAGAGGCATACTCGAGCACTCCAAAATCAATCCGAAATTGTCTGCTAGGGGCAGAGGCGGTGCTGTTCTATTCTTGGCGCGATGTGCTGCGTGATGCGGGTGGTTAGGATTTGAAAACAGTCTCTTCACCAGTCGTTTTGTCTTCTCAGTTTTTCTTTGTCACCTGTGGCCCTACGGCGCTTCAGTTCACCCGTTTTCCCTTCGTGTTTTGATGACAATCGGAACAGAACGTTCAACGAACCACCCCGCCCACCTTTAATTCCGTTGTTCTCCAGCGTGACTCTTCATCAAGATGCATCATCTTCCACTCGCTCTCTATCTCTGTCTTTCTGTCTTTACTCATTTATCCTCTGCCTACACATGGCCGTCACCACAATACGACGCCCTCGAAGGCCTGCTTTACGAGGGCAGGAAAAGTGACGGTTCCAGCTTGTCTTCGATCGTCCATCCCTGCCGAAAACGCACCGGGACTCTTGCGTCAATTGCGGCGGAATGGCTGCGTTTCGTAAGTAGTCGCTCGCTGACTTCCACTTCGTGCTTAGGGTTTGATCCAGGCTTTTCATGATATGGCAACACATAATGTTAATAACGGGACTGGTGGACTTGACGGTTCCCTCGTGTATGAGCTTGACCGACCCGAGGTGTGTCACACACTCTATTTTATTTTATCCTTGTTTTAAGCGTTTTTTAGAACTTTGGTTTGGGCTTCAACCAGACTGCGTCTGATTTTGAGAACTACCCGAATAAATTGGTTTCTCGTACTTTGCATTTTCTTTTTGTCCATTGTTCTACTCTCAACTTCGTTGACAGGTGCCGATATCATCTCGATTGGAGCCATCTTTGCAGTTGCGACGTGCGGCGGTCCCATCATTCCCTTCCGTGGTGGTCGTATCGACGCCTACTCCGCGGGTAACTTTGGAACACCCCAACCGCAGGATGACTTAGGGTCTCTCACCACCAGTTTCCAAAACCAGGGTTTCAACACCGCAGAGATGATCAAACTCGTTGCCTGTGGACATACCATGGGTGGTGTTCGGAGCTCCGATTTCCCTGAACTTGTCCCCGCTGGCCCGGATCCGAATGTCCCGAACATCGCAAATTTCGATACAACTACCCAATTTGACAATGCCGTGTAAGCAAAACTATTCTCGAGGCCTTCCCGTCATTTACTTTAAATCAAGAGTGACTGAATACCTCTCTGGATATACTAAGAATGTTCTCGTGGTAACGTCCAATAAAACCATGGCCTCCGATCTGCGGGTATTCCAGAGTGATGGCAACAGCACTATGCGCAGGTATTGCTGGATTCGTCACTTTCAAAGAAATCCTTTGACACTATTACCAATTTAGTCTCACTTCAGCCTCTACCTTTGCCTCTGAATGTCAATCCATTTTTGCACGCATGCTCGACACTGTTCCCGCAGGTGTCACTTTGACCGACGAAATTACCCTTTTACCTGTCAAGGTTAATGGAGTGCAACTATCCATTGAGGAACAGAAGCTTGTCTTCAAGGCATCCTTGCGTGTAAGTACAACGTTCTCTTCTAATATCTCGTGCTAATTAAATCCAAGCTTATTCAACCAATAAACGCGACAGCAAACGCCAAACGAACCGTGACAATGCTGTGGTGCGATAAGTACGGTAGTGCCGCAGCCTGCAAAGGAGCCACCAGGTCCTCTTTACCAGTCAACACGCTTAGTGACGATCCAAACATTTCTCCAGTGACCTTGAATCTCGGGTACTACTTTATCAACTACAATTTCGTCGTCCCCATCGACTCCGCGGCTTCTATATCAAAGTTCTGGTTCCAGGTGGATGAACATAACGGAACAGCCGCGACCACTTACAATAATGGTGGCAGTGGTTATGTGCTACCCCAGGATCAAATCTTCTTCGTCCCAAAGTTGAGCCATGTCGATAATGTGCAGAACATGACTTATACCCAGGTGTACACAAATCGTGATGGATCGGCATATACCCATGTGTACACCATCGTCGCTGCTGTGCGTTTCATTCTATTTACATCAACGTCGCTGATATCCTTTTAGGTCCGCAACGATACGACTCCGTCTCGTGTTTACGTGAATGGATTCGACAGTTCAGTCCACGGTTACCCGTATTATGTCAACGTCACTGTCGACCTCGCATTGAACTCGTCTTTGAGTTCCGGAGTTCCTGGGTATAACCTGTACTCCGGGATCGTCAACGACTCTGGTTATCAGCTCACGCTGGACCTTCATGCCACCTCTGGAGGAGCCACGTATACGCAGGATTTCGTGGCGACTACGTTCTTAGATAATACTCCCTACGTCGCACCAAGTACCCCGAGTAACGCTGCTGTAAAGTCGTCAGGCAGCCGTAGCTCTTTTGCCCATGTTTTCGGATGGACCCCAGTCGCATGTTCTTTAAGCTTGATCGTGGCACTGACATTTTGGAGATGATATTCTACAGTGTTATCGTTTTGTAATTGCCTACTGCCACTGGCTTTATTTACTGAAGGAAGGAAGAACTGTGGATTCAATTCTTTATCACACGGACATCTTTATTACCTTGACAATTTACAATTTACCAAAGGACCGTCGATGGGCGAATAGTTTATCATAAATTTGCTTGGTATATGCTGGATATTTACCTTGTTTAGTGGAAAATGCGAACTGCAGATTGTGTACCGATTTTGTTGAATTCGTACGGATCGGACACATCACTTTCTTGTGTTGAGAATTCCAATGTGCTGAGGTGTCCTGGGGATCACCTTGAACGGTACAGCACATGTAAATGTCGTCCTTTTTGATTATTATCGGTATCCATGCCCCCTCCGTTTTGTGCAAGGGCAGGAAAGTGAACTTGATAGAGAATTGTCAGCCATTTAGTGACAACCAGCACAGGAGCTCGAACTCACAAATTCCCTTAACCTTTAACAGATAGCATATCGAGATGTCCAGTCCAACCTAAGCCCAATTTATGAAATGGCTGTGGGACTGCTCTAGTGCGCGACTTTTGGGGGGGCCGCTGGGTAAAGGCGCGGAGCGGATCGAGATAGGAGTGCCGTTGGCTCTAAAAACCCATTTTTGATGTCGGGCCCTGCCAATTGTGTTTCCCAGAAGACCTTTGAACTTTATGTCACCGCAAGTGGGTTCTCGAAGCCTTGGTCACCGGAAAGTCGGGACCTCTTCTGGTTTTACGGCAAGGTAAATTATTGGGTCTTCGAAGAAGCCTTTTTTCATGTGAGGAGAGCTAGGGCGAGCTGTCCATTGTCAACGACGGAAATTTAGAGAAATGCAACGGGAAACCCGAAAGGGATATTGAAATTGAAATATGTCTTGCATTGGAACACCGACGGACGGCGGATTGCGGCCACCTCAAACATCATCAGCACAAACACACCAGCCAGCATTCTACATTCCAGTCTCTGTTCAGCATGGATCTTCAATAAATTATTCGCCTACCCAATTTACATTCGCAATCCACCATGGCGCGCTCGGTACTTCCAGTTGGTTAAAGCAGAACGAAGGTTACACCTGGGTTAGGCTGTCACGGAGCTCGTTGGTTCTTTTCCCAACCTGTATTCGAAGATCAGTCCAGGAATATTTTTCCGCCGTCGTATGACAAGATTTACAGGGAAGACTTGAGGGCCGCAAGGGTCTTGCGACAAAATTCTTCTGAACAGCGGTTATCATTGGTTCCTCATTCACACCCTGTAGGACGCGATTCATTTGCCCCAGACTTGCCCGCTGGACCCATGGATCAGTGATATAGGGGAGCAAAGAAGACTCTCAAGGCGTTTCAAAGAGAAAAGGCAGATTCCTCATTGCTTGGCCCCACCTGTTGGCTATCCTTTGAGGAGATCTGGACTCGGCACCACCAGCGTTGGAATTTCTCTTCGCCATTTGAACTATTGTGGACCGGTGGGGCGAGGCCGCGGAAGGTTACACAGGTGAGCACATTCAAAAAAAATCATTTTCCTTTCACGTCCCGGCGACGTCGATCACACGATGTGTTTTTTTTGCGTTCTGGTTCTCGTAGCAGGCGTTGGACACCCATAATTGCTAGGCTTTGAACCGCGCTTTTGACTGGTTTTGCTGTTGAACTCTTCTTGAAAGAGCTTCTAGTTTGTTGACCGGGGACTCAGTTCACACAAGGCGGGGGGTATCTATGACTTGCATTTAGCATGGTCATACTCACAGTTGGATTGATGGAGGAAGGAAAGTTGTTGAACTCACTGCGCGCTTTTATGATGCGACGTTATGGGCGGGTCACGTCACGTGGTTCCCAAAACGTCGGCCCGACGTCGTGCATCGGCCGACTGACTCGATGTCGAGCGCAACCGAGTTCTTCAGGTGCTAGTCATCCACGTCGATGCAGAGGTCATGGATTGTCTTTTGGACTTTGACTTTCCCGATATTTCCGCGTTCAGCTTTGCCAGATTCTGTTGGCTGCCCGCGTAGAAGAACATCGTGTTGACATACTTCTTACCAGTCAGGCCATTCACTTTATCGATGAGGCCCTCTAGCTTCTTGGGCGCGATTCGTTTTATGAATGGGCATGCGGCCTGAGAGGTGGGAAACATGAGTTCCTTCTATAAGGGAATGCCTTTTGCATCTTTGAAGGCGAAGATAGGACGTACAGCTTACCTTTTCGTTTAACGTGGGTTCGACCAGTCAATGCCTATGCGCACGCAGCCATTTCTTTCTTCGCTTCCTAAACCACGACTTTGGAGGGTGCAACCCTCAACGAAGCACGCTTAGGTTCAAGGAAGGATGCTTTTGTCGTGATATCGAGGCCAACAGACGAGCTTGGGATGTCAGGGGTACGCAGGAGAACATCTATTGTGGGCGCCTGCTTCATGAAGTTTGAAGCTTTGAAGGAGCGCTGGTGTTTGTGCCGTGCAAATCTGGGAAACAGCAAGAATTAAGCTCAGGGACCCCCAAAGCCAGTTGCCAGCAACCACCAATATCGTTGAGGTCGTAGCCTGATCCTAACGTTCATTCCTCCACCTACCTCTTTCACCCTCCTTTCACACATCGTTCATTCAGTGAAGACCCCAGTTATGGCTCCATATAGAAGCCCTCTTCCAACGTTTACTCTCGCGCTGTCCTCTCTCCCAAAACAAGACCCTTTTGATAACCGACGAGATTTTCAAAGAGACTTCTTCTCCGGTTATTACGCGTCCCTAGCAGCGCGTCGAGACTTCTTGGTGTGTTGTTCGCGTGCTCGAACCCGCTGTCCAGTCTCATTGTTTACTGTAGTGCACTTTTCAGCCTCAATCTCTGAACAATTGCGATTCTGAATTCCTTCCCGTCCGTTGCCTGTTCAACTTTCTTTTGTCATGCCCTCACTTCCCATAGTCCAATGTTTCTATACTGGAAGATGAACTCAAGATGGAAACACACTTCGATGATCAAGACGGACGTTTTCCAGTTCACTCGGACACTGGCTGTGTGACTGGATGGTGGCGGCGAATTGTCCAGGTGTGCTATCAATCCTTGCACACGCGCCTGTCCTAATCCTAAATCCTCATCGGCAGATGATCTCTCATAGGCTTTTCCGTCGTCAAGTGCAGTAAAGCGAAACTCCACACCCTGGACCGCTTCATGTCTCAAAAGGTTCCATTTCGAAAACATCTTGTTACTGCTACATCCATATCTTGCCAACACTATTGCTATTACTATTATCTGCATACATACATACATACAGCTATTCTTCGCATTGTACCATATTACATACAGCCCATATGTTCCACTGCAGTTGTCGTCACATTATGTACCTTCGCTTTCGCTCTCGTTTTCGTACTCCCCATCCGGGCTGTCACTGTCTTACAGACATACACGCATCAAATCTTCACATTGACATATTCTTGACTTCACAAAAGGTCCAACATACCGCCTTCAGATCCCAAAAGGTGGGGTGTAGTTGCAATATCCATGATAGTACAAGTAGCGAAACACAGCCGATAAGCGTCGGCCTCGTCCATAGTTATTGGCCACGGCAGACGGTTAAGCACGCCCGTCCGCTATTCCACTTCTTGTCATGGAGCAGCCGTTGGGTTTAGCGAGTAGTTGGATCTTTCGTGTAAGAGCACTGGAGAGCGCATATTTCGTCGCCTGTGTCCACATCGCATTTCAGCGGTTGTTGGTAGCAAGTATTTGGGAGATAGGAAGTGTCAGTCATGCAACAGTGAAAATGGCTGAACTTACGAGTTCCGTGCGTTTAACTTTGAAAGAGAGGGCAGAGAGTGCTTCACCGTTAGTGACGAGGCCATGGAGTCTAGCCGTTTCGTTTGAAAGCTTAGCAGGTTGAAGATCATACTAGTCTCGTTGCCAGCCGTCAGTCACTTGCTCGTCATATTTAAGTCCTTCCGTCCACCGTCTTGTCCTTAGCGTCGATAATTGAACCCTTGAGCTTCTGAAGGCTGGTTCGAGTCCAGTTCGAATCTACCTCTGTTAGCGGTTCTTGATATTTCCACCGCTACGAAAGGGGAACCTTTTAATTCTTCGTGGTGAACTGCAGTTTCCTGGGGAAGGCAAACTTGTAAAGCTGAGATATTCGAGCGTATTGAATTTCGACGTTGTTCTATCAGAGATTTTTTCAGTGAAGGGCGCGAGCTGTCCTTGAGCTGTCCAACGCGCTGGGAATTGAATATTCAGGGAGAAACCCAATTATTTTATTTGATGGAATTCAATGAATCAAATGTCTTGCATTTGAAATCATTTTGAACACCGACGGTCTGGACTCTCTGCACATGCCTTCGCCGCCTATGATCAACACACAAACGTACCAGCTGCAAGTTCTCTTCTTCGGCAAACCTGCGCTCAAGCTTCTGTTCAGCATGGACAACCGATAAATTATTTGCCTACCCGATATGTTCGCACTCGATCTCGCGGCCACCAGTCATTCATCTCAAAAGCAGACGAAACCACAGTGGCATGAGCTCCTCGAGCCTCGAAGCCCACTCACAGAATTTTTCGAGACCTGAAGATGCTCACCAATCGAAACACATTGTCCATCGTGACAAATGGGGTTGCAAGGTCGACTTGGGAGGGCGAATGTCTTGCGGCGAGCTGCTTTTGAGCACTGGTTATCGTCGATACCTCATTCAAGCTGTCTGCAAGACGTCATTCAAATTTTCGCGAGTCTTCTGGGCCTGCGAGTTGGCGACGTAGTGAAGCAAAGGAGACTCTCAAGGCGTTGAAAAAAGAGGAGAGGAAAGGCAGATTCTTCGAAGCCTCGGCGCGGCCTTTTTTTAGTGGGCTATCCCGAAGTCTTCTGGATCAGACACCGTCGACACCAGCTATGTCTCGAAACTCTTCTTGACGTTATTGTGTTTTGGCGGGGCGAGATTGGAATGGTTATGCAGGTGAGCACATCATTCACTTTACTGTCATGTCCCGGCGACGTTGATCACACAGGCTTCTTGAACTATGGCGGCTTCTGAGGTTGTGCGCCCATAATTGCCAGAGGTCTTGGATCGCGCCTTTTGGTGGTGAAACTCTTCTTGTGGGGACTTGCGTCTTGCTGAGCGGGGACTCATCACACACACGAGCCTATGACTTGCGTTTAGCATTGTCATACTTACAATTGGGTTGATGAAGGAGGCCGCTGACTCACGCGCTTTTTATAAATGCGCCCTGTGACGGCGGGTCACGTCACGTGGTTCCCGACGTCGGAGCGTCGGTCGACTGACTCGAGTCACTGGATGTCGAGCGCAGCCGAGTTTGCGTGTCAATTGACGCCGCGAAGGTGTTTGCTTGAAACCGACATCGTTTGGAGTTGTTCTGCGGAGGATGCTCCTCCTGTGGAGTTGGTCACTCTTCCTGTATTCGAGCGTGCAGCTTTTGCCGTTCGAAGTCGAGAATTGACATACTTCTTGCCATTCAGGTCATGAAGTTTATCGATGGTGCATCCGGCTTCTTGAGCATGATTGCTTTATTATTGAAAGAGATTCGGCCTAGTGGTGATGCATGGGAACGTTCCTTCGGCGATAGTCCCACTGTATGTGACGGGCTTTCGCGCTTTGCGGACTGAATACAGGACGTGCACGTCCAACGTGGGTTCCACCAGCCAGTAACTTCTGCACCCGCAGCAAAATCTTGCTTTTCTTTCCAAAGCACGACATTGCTGGGTCACCTGCGACCGTCGACAATCACTTCCAGGTTCGAAAGAAGGGACATTCTTCCCGTCATATCAAAGTTAACTTGTTGGACTTGGGAATAGCGGAGGTATGCAGGAGGACTTCTATCGTGAACCAGGGGACCTGCGGCATGAAGCTTGAAGGATGGTCGATGTTTGTGCAGTACAAATCTGGAGGGCAGGGAAATTTAAGCTCAGGGACCCTCAAAGTCAATTTTCCAGCAACCACCAACATTGACGAGGTCATAGCTTGGTGGTAACGCTCATTCCTCCGCCCGGCTCTTTCACCACTGGATCTACACGCCGTTTGTTCGGTGAGGACCTCAATTATGTTTCCACACAGGCGCCCACTTCCGACATTCACTCTCGCGTTGTCATCTCTCCCAAAACCAGACTCATTGGATGGCCGACGAGATTCTCAAAGAGACATCTTTTCTGGTTATTACACGTCCTTAGTAGTACCTCGAGACTTAATGGTGTGTTATTCGCGTGTTCTCATCCGCTAGCCGGTCTAATTGGTTCCTGCAGCGCACTGTACATCCTCAATCTTGGAACGACTGTGGCTTTATTATTCCTCCCGTTCGTTGTCTACTCGACTTCCTTCGTCACGTCCTTACCTCCTTTAGTCTAATGTGTTCATACTGGAAGATGAACTTGAGACAGAGACACTCTTCGATGATCAGGACGAACGTCTTTCTGTTTACTCAAACTCGGACTGTGGGATTGGGTGGTGGCGGCGTATCACCCAAGTACGCTATTTATCCTTCCACATGCGCCTGTGCTTACTTCTATTGCACGGAAGATCTATCACAGGCTTCTCCGTCGTAATTATCGAACTCATTAAAGCGGAACTCGACATATTTGGCCGTTGTTTATCTTGAAAGGTTGCATATTCAAAACATCTTGACACACCCATATCTTGCGTTACTCAACACCATTACTATTACTATTAGATGCAAACATGCATAAAGTTCTTCTCACTGTATCATATTACACAATCCATTTCTTTCAACAGTCGATTGCAACAGCTTTAGGTATCATCGTGCTCGCTCTCGTTTCTGTACTCTTCATCCGAGCTGTCACTGTCTTCCTCCACACCCTCCTCCGAATACTTGATTTCGCTTCCAGTTGCTGCGAAGCGACTCGCTATGGCTCTAGTAAGGGAATTGTTCTCTGGTGGCCATAATGGGATGTTGAGCGTTATGCTTTCCAGTTGAGGCCAAGCCAAGGGTAATTGCTGGGGTTGAACGTCAGGACAGGTAGGAGGGTCGAAACCGTTGGTGTTGAGTCGTCCGAAGATGTCATCATACCACCCCGACCACTCGAGTAGTGTAAAATGTTTGAGCATGGGGAAGGACGTGTAAAATTCTTCGGGAATACGATCTCCCAAACTCACGTCACTTATTTTCAGAGAGGTCACTGCGGGGTATTTTGGAAGGGAAGTTTGTAAACACTCTTCCGTGAAGCTGCAAAGTTCACCGATGTTTGAAACGAATAGGCTCTGCAACTTCGGAGTAGACAGGAGGCTACAAAGACGAGCGGTGCAGAATTCATCAAAAGGTGAAATTTCGAGACTCTGCAGTGAAGGGAGAATGGTGGTTGGGTAGTCGGCGTCATCTTCAATGATAAGTGCGACTTCTCTGATTAAAAGTTGCTGGAGGCCTTGACTCGTCAGCAGGACATCACGAAATGTGAGGTAGGGCAATTCGGTGGCAAGATGCCGGATGTCAAGGCATGTAAGGTTCTTGATGCCTTGAAGAGTCGTCCAAGGAAACGGAACGCGTCGTATTCTGAGATTTTTTAGAGCGAGTGGGGCGGACTCCTTCAAAAGAGTGTGAAGCCGAGGATATTTTTCATGCGTCGTAGGCGAGTAATCACGTTGGATGAGCTCCAAAGACTCGATATTATGCACCCACTCCACTCTTTGAGGCATTATCGCAATGAGAAACTCCATCCAACGGTGTGCGCCGGCTTCGAAACACACGGTCCGCCACCTCGAAACACAGTCTTGAATGAGGATCATAAAATCTACGCCGTCCTCTTCGTTTAGATTATCAAAAGATTTATCACAGGCCACGTAGACGTTGAGAGGGCAATCTTTGGATCGTTTGATGTAAGCCTTAGCCCGTTGCATTCGCGACGGCGACGGTATGAGGCGTATTTTTGTCCAGAACGTGGGTGTGTTGATAATCAGTCCACGCCATTCACGGCAAACGTGAGAAATGGTGGTCGCGCATAGCCAATTCTCCCCAGATCTAACGTCAATTGGTTCTCGGAACTCCAAAAAGATCGTTAGGAGGACATCGTCTGGAAGTATACAAACTCCGCGTAAAGACGTGGGGTTTGCTGTGGGGACGATGGAAAAGTTATTTGTGGTTCAGGAGATCTTAAATCTGCCCTACTTACCTTCCCTCCCCGTCATCGTTGGCTAAACTCTCGCGAGGGTGCTTCATTTTGAAATTGGCTCGCGTTATTTGTAGGTGTGTGGAATGGAGGGTCTAGTTCGGACTTTACTTGCCCAGGGCCAGTGACTTGCACCACCTCGAAGTTCGACCCTCAAGACCTCAACGTTCAACGTGCAACTACAGTAAGTGAGACTACTCTGGTGCATTCCAGCGTTAATACTTACTGTATTCAGGAAATAAGCCTTTCCATGGTCTGTGTTATAAGCCCGAAAATGAGGGTTTCATAGTCAACCATTTTAAATGCAGTACGCTGATATAGAAGCCCTCGTGCTTTCTGGAGAATTGTTTAATGGGCGTTCTCGCTCTTCATCACCGGCACGATCCCCCTCACCGGATGCAGGATGGCACGATGACGAACTGAACGAAGAGGAGCAGAAATATCGTGACCAGGGCCTTGATTATGACTCCGATACAGCAAGAAGGGATGCGATAAGATCACAGAAGCAGACAGAGGCGCAGCCAGAGTCGATTGGGATGGGTCCGGGTCGGACAGGGGTGAAGGGTGTCATAAGAGACCGAAATGAAGTCGCAAATATTCGACGAGAAAAGAGGGCTCAAGAATTGGAGGATCTACGGCAGAAGATGGAGGCAGGCAACCTAGGAGGGAAAACGTATTTGGAAGAGGAAAGGGAAAAGGCAGCTAGAGGAGAAACTGCCGACAGTTTGGTCGAGAACGGGTTTAGGCAGGATGTCTTTGGAAGAAAACGACAGGGAAGATTTGGACATCTACGGGAAGTGGGATTGAAAGGATTTGTTGGAGCTGTCGAGCAGGAGGAGCGCGGAGTGTGGGTGGTCATACACCTCTACGACCCCGTACGTTTTCAGTCTCATCCATCAGCCTACGATCTTAAGTTAATTTGCATTCCACGAAGTCATTAGAACGCTGCTACCTCCTTGACGAGGTCCTTGCTCGCTTGGCACGCTCGTTTCCCGAGACCAAGTTTTTGCGTGCTCGCGCGTCTGCCCTAGGTTTTGCTTCCACATCTACATCATCAAGCAAGGTAGCGACTACAAGACGTCTCAAACCTCCCTTGGAAGTCAACGAAGACGATCCTTACGCGGATGACGACGGGGACCAGGATGACGACAGCGACGAGGAAATCGTGGACGACGATGACGTGGATCTAGACGTCCTTCCAACAATGCTTGTATACCGTGATGGGGAGCTTGTCCACAACTGGGTCCGGGTTGATTGGGAGGCAGGGAGAGGCGGCGTTGAAGAACTTCTGGATAAGTACGGAATTTCTCGTTCACCTTTGATTGCAACGCTGATCCGTTTCTAGAAACCACATATTGTCACACAACTTTGCCGGTGGTAGAGATAATCTTGGTCTCCCGTTCAGTGATGACGAGGGTGACTTCGATCTCATGTGGAGTGACGACGATAACATCAAGCACCCGTAGCCCCTTCTCATTTTCGAGAGTACCATTGATTTAAGTGGGAAATTCACAGAACGATTTGCTCTGATGTTACGATATGCTGTCTCATATCACAAGCAGGCGTCTGCTTTTTAAACAGATAAGGACCTCTTTCTGTTATCTTTATGCTTGAGAGCATCGCGATTTCCTTGTCAATGCAAACCATTTAGCGAGACAACTTCGACCAAACCCCGCCCCGAGTCATTTGACCAAGAATAGAAGAGTCACCACGGACTTCAACATCATTGCAGGTACTTTAGCTCTGGAAAGCCTCTCATGACTAGAAGACCTGAAACATTGGTAGCTGACCACAGCGAACAACTTTACAGAATATCTTTCTTTTTCTCGAGTTTCCACTCTGCCAAAAATATATTCTAAAGCCCCAAGGTTGCTATCATTCAGGCATCCATCCATTAACAAGAAGTTTTCAGTATGATACCGACCCCAATTTATCCGCGTGTTAAGTTGCTGCATATGACAGGAAAACCAGGGTACTGATGGATAAAGATCGGTGCTTATGGTGTTGAGCTCTGCTCTTCTCGCCGTTGACTTCCACATTCCCAGATATGTCTTTCGTTTGTCAACGTGAAGCACGATTCCCGTGTATGGCCCTTTAGTACACCTTCTCATCAACAACGAAATGTCGCATTTCCGTCAAGTTTCGTGAAATTGCACGCTTGACCATCCAAAAATTGATGTGACTCTCTCGATCCTTCTACCAACTACGCGAGGTCAAGAATGGTCTTCTTGACAATAAATTGTGGTCGGGGTCGAGTGTTGTTTGGGTCACTAAGGCTATCCCCAACAATATCACGCATTGATTTTTCTGTCTTCAATTGCAGGTAGGAGGACGTCAAGAAGGATCCCTTCTTATTTGTGGGGTGTCTGTCGACGGCATCCGATCCTTATCTTCGATATTGGGACCCGAGCTGTACGACGTTCGTTTGCGAGAATCTGTGTCATGACCATGTAATCCGTGCGAAGAAGTCTCTTTAACCGCTTGGAAGAAGCCTCTCGAGAGGACAAGTTTCTGCGACTAAAAAATATGGGGGATGAAAAATGTCCACTGGACAGTCTCGTACGCGAGAGGTGTAAGCGCTCGCAGCGAAGTGAACGCCTGGACGAGCAGCACCATCCGAGCCAATCCATAGAGGACGAATCCTGCAGCGATCGAGTACTCCACCGCCGACTGCCAGAGGCTTTCGAACAACGAGGAATATAGAATGGACAGTAGGGCATTAAGCAACGGCACACAAGTGACGATCAAGGATGCTGTCCGCCACAAAACACGTTCGACGTGCGAAGGGAAAGTAAATGCCCAGGCGATACAATGGATACTTCCAAAGACCACACCAAAGAGGGTGCATACGACCAGGATCCTTAATTCCCATTCCCATTCGCAGTCAAATTTGTGCGCGTAGTAGGTGGGGACGCGGCTGTTATCTTCGATGTCGTCAGCTTCGTTTGCGTTTGCCATGTCGCGGATAGGTTCAACAGCTGCGCGAATCGGAATAGGGCGAAGAATCAAGGAAAAAAGGAACCTGGGCCAAAATCCTTGCTTTTCGCTGTCCAACTTCCAACTATACTGCGACGCAGCGGACCAGAAAACGAGGGTGGGGTTGTCTTCGTGGCTTTCTTGTCGACCACCTCTTCTGGCACGCAGCCGTCAAGGTCACTGTCGGGGGATCTCAAGTTCTCCTGCTGCACAGGAAGATGACCTATGACCAGGTTTGATTCCGTAGCCTCCTTTAAATGTATGGTCACAGGACTCCGCACGTCGAGAGGCTTGTGCCACCAGAAGAAATGCATCACTCCGTTCAAAGCCGCAAACGCCAACGTTACGAGCTTAAGTTCTGTTATGACGAGCCCTTGCACTCCACGCGCGATGCATTGAACGAAGAACCAAAACGTTTGGAATACCACCAAACTTTTAGAAAGCATGTCGCCCTTGCTCTTGTCCGCTATCTCTTCTTCTGTGATTGAGGGGAAACCAATTTGTCCAGTCTCGAGCAAAACCTCGAATTCTTCTGGGGAAAGGACACGAGGAGGGGTATCGTCCGTTCTGAGAAGCCTGAACCCTCCCATTTGGATAAAGAAACCGTGTGTTTTTGTCCATCCTAACCAGCCTTTGTAATTGAGAACCGATTGAAGATTAGAGATACCATACCCCTATCTTGGTACTTGTCCTTCAATTGCCTGGCACCAACCTATTGCCTCATCGCCCACAGGATAGTCATCTCTGGCGCGAGAATGGCATACGCCATCACCTGCACCCGTCGTCGTGCAACAATCCAAAAACTGTCCCCATCTGCAAGAATGTTAGGCTGCACAGCAAGCCAGGTACAGGCGAATATGGTGAGAAGGCAGCTCCAGACGATGTCCCATATGGAGCGCGAAGATCCACCAGCGTTGAAGATGATGGGACAATCACAATGGGTGGAATTGATAGCGCGTGAGTTTACTGTGGCTAATGGCGCTGCGTTGACGTCTGACGATGGTGAACATGAGCAAGATGGCTCCAAGTCGAGTCGCTATGTAGATTGCATTGGAATGTTGAAATTACAATCTGGTTCGAGGCAGAGTTATGATGGTCCAAGTCGAGTCGTTATGTAGATTGCATTGAGGTATTGAAGTTACAATAGACCACGTTCGTTATTGGCAACAACGAGGTCGATGTTGAGATGCGGCGGGAAGACGTGCCTGATATCTAGACCGGTGACCGTTCTGTATATGAAGGTACCCAAAAGGTACCTTCAATATACAAGTTACATATCATATACAGGCTGGTCACGAGCCTAGATCTCTCTTGCTCTCAGGCCATCTCAGGCCCAGCTACCTTTTCTTCCACTTGCATGTGTTAGCTCCCTTCGACAAATCTATGACTCGCGTTCAGCGTAACGGGTTTGACATCGTTTTCAGCTACGATATGTCCAGCTAATGTCAAAAGTCTGGCCAACCTCGGCCGATATAGATTCCGGAACGCAATGACGAAGTTCCAAACAATCTTTGAGGAAGCCACCTTGCACGATATTTCCGAGTTGGGATGGCCTACCAGTCCCATAGACAACACTGCAGATAATGTTATTACCCTTTACGACATAGCAACTGCAACGCCCAACCAAGCTTGGTCTCCAAATGTGCTTCTGCTACCAGCGCCGGCACCAGAAGACTCGAGACGAGAACGGGGGCGGGTTCTAGCGGTAGTGCTAGCTGGGGACCCAGAGACAGAGGTAGAATGCGATTGAGTTGCCGAGAGCGAACGGAAAAACAACCAATTCTGGTGTTGCTGGCTAGATCCGCTGGCCTTGTTTTGCGACTTTCGTTGGGATGTGGTGTGGTGTGGGGGAGTGGCGACCACTGTCGTCTGAGGATGAGGTTGGAAAGAGAGAAGGCTTGGCTCTCTGGTCTACAGCGGGGAGTGATATCCATCATCTCCGCGTCTTGTTGTTGATAATTCGCCTCAAAAGTCTATACCAACAAACGTCATTAGTCAAAAGGGAAAAATAAATCTGCGAATAACGAAACGTACCAGATCTACCAATCATAATCACCTCTGACGGAGTAGAACTACTCCCCCTTTCCCTCCTCCTCCTCACCATTTCACGCTCCCAATACGACTAAACAATGTTGTGCCGCTACCGGGACTACCAGGACTCACAGGGCTATTGGTGGCACTGCCAGGTTGATGGTGCGAGGCAGGCGGGGGGGTACTATTTGCATAACGACATCTTCGCCTTCATTCTCATCCCCATCGGCAAAGACATCCCGCTCCCTCTCCAGTTCCTCGATGTTCCTCACCCGCGTAAGTAAGCCCATCTCGATGGTGTTCCCACCAACACCTCAAGCGTCTTCTCCCGCACCCGCGGTGTATAGGCGGGCTCGGTGGGCGGAAATACGTCAAGAATGTTTGTTATGGTTTGAGCAAAAGCAGGGGGGCGGGCAATTGTTGGGACGGAAAGGATGGAAGAAGTGGGGGAACGCGGAAATGGCTGTAGGGTGTTTGCGTTGGAGTTTGAAGAAGGGAGGAGGAAGGGAAGTGGCAATGCGGGGACTGGAGGCGGGGGTGTTCCTTGCTGAGGTGGTATGTTGAGCCGGGAGAGAGCGATACCGCGAGTGTGTGCCGTGACGGTCTGGTCCTCCTCGTCTCTGTCGAATTCCAGATTGTCATCCTCAGAATCGGAGGAGCGAGTCCCCGATTTTCGCTAGTGCTTGTTGGATGAAGACGGGAGTAGACGAAGAGGAGAAGAGCCCTTCTTAAATTCGTCTACGTCGTTGTCATCGTCCCAATTTTCGTGTTTCTGCTGCGAGGGAAGGCCTTGGCGAGCATGGTGTGCACTCTTCTCCGTCGTCGACCGAGAGTGGACTATATCGACACTCCCGGAACGACGAGAGGGTGTATCTGGGATGGTGTTCTTCTTGTCTCCGAGAAATTTCATAGGCGAATCGTTGGCGAGGCCATCGTTTCCCAGTCTGAGCTGGGCAACGACATCCGCGTATTATTGGCTTTCGCTGTTGATTTCTGGAACCCAAAGTCGTCGTCCCAGTTTTCTGACGGGGCCGGAAATAGGGAATAGAGTAAGATATCGTCAGATAAGATACGTCAAAGAGAATTAGACGCACCCGTTGCATGATGCAGAGAGTTGTTCATCGTATCGCGTGATCATGCCCGGACTCTCTCTACGAGTCTACCACCGAACGAAGAAGCTGGACTCGTTCGTTTTGAGTAACCAGAGAGGGAGAGAGAGAGGGTTAGCAAAGGAGTCGAAGTCGTCGTTGCAGGTTAGGAGGAGAAACATCCTTTGTTTTTGCCACCTGTGAACCCCACCTATTTGGTCCTATTAGACAGGAACAAGATATGCTTGTTCCTGTCTAGTTCGATCAAAGATGGCTTTTGTAACGCTCTGGGCAATAACTACCAGTAGTGCGTAGGGACTTTATAATAAATTCTTACCTGTGCTCACCGGCAACCATGAATACCAGTCACCGGTGTTTGGCACTTGGCGGCATTGCGCTCCTGCCCATAAAGGGTTCGATGCCATCACGAAGAACCCTTACTCACCGTTGTTGATGGCAACGCGTCGAGCTCGTCGTGCGCAATGCCGACAACGTGTATCCCCCCCAATAATCATCTGTTCCCCTCGCTTTCTTTTGCATTACATAGGTATTATTAGGTAGATAGTAATGCATATGTTTTACTTAGTCCTCCTGGCTACGGGGGCCGTCACCACTCATATCAAGTACACTAAAGCAGGCACCAAGAACCTCAATCTCCTCATCCTCACCAGCCTGCTCCTCATCCAGCTCCTCTTCTAAATCCACTTCATGACTGGGGGTGGTACCTGTAGGGGGAAGGGCCGGGGTCTGAGGCTCCCCTGTTGCATCTGGCTCCTCTGATGTGGTAGAAGCCTCTGCAACATGAGTGCCAAATCCAATGGGACCAGTATAACCATCCAGGAGATAGATCTTCTCCAAGATCTTCAGGTGGTGAGCATTGAAACGGCCCCGTTCCATCCGATGAAGTTTGAGCTGAAGAGCGAGGGCAGGACGAGAGAGCAAGAGCTCGGCTTCTTTTCCTCGAAGGAGAATGTCTTCGTCATGAATATAGGTTGCAAGGCGGGGAACTTCGATGTTCAGCCGCGCAATCTCTTCCTGCGCACGTTCGAGTTTGAACGCCCGGTCAATTGCAAGGCGAGCGGCGGGTGTCGCCCAAGGTTTCCTTCGAATATCTTGACGGGCATCACGGAGGAGATCGAAGTCCGAGAGGAAGGCGTACTCAACGACCTGATCCCAGTTGAGTACCTGTCGAGGTGGCACTAGAGCCAACGCCGCTGTATTGTACCTGTCGAGGGCGGTGCGAATGGCGACAGATCGGGCCTTGAGCGCGTTGGCAATGTGTTTACGAAGGCTATAGCCTATCATGTTGCCGTCAGCTGCAGTCATTTCCGAGAAGACAACGTCTTACCTGTCTGGGACCGGTTCATCTTTGTGAGTTCAAACATGCGTGCGACCACGAGCCCTTCCAGGACATCGATGCAACGTTGGTATGTCCGCATCATAACCTTCTCTCCTGCTGCCTGCCACTCAAACGAACCCCGCTCCCATCGCCGTGCAATGTTGAGCTTCTTCTCTAGTACCTGGACGGCGGTGAGATCGCGCTTTTGGGTTTCGAGCGCATGGCGGCGGGCTGTTTCATTGGAGGCAGTCATGTCGTGTTCGCCGACATTCGCCTCCGTAAGGTTGGACCAGGCCAAGACAGCCGCTGCAAGTGTACGTCTGTAGATCATAAGTAACAATACAGATCAATAAAGTTTAGACTTACTCGCTGGCGTTGAAATTGAGGAGTAACTTGTAATACTCCATCTCCAGTGTCTCCTCCAGGGGTTCCTTCGAGAGCCCCCTCAGGTATTCCTCCTCCTCTTTCAACCACTCTTTCACCATGACCATGTCCCGTGCACCCACTTTCACCAGTGCGCTGTCAACTGCCGATCTCGTGTCCAGTATCTCGAGTGCTTGTTTATAGTTGTTGAGAAGGAAGGTGCCTAGTGGACAATGATCAGTAATGTCACAGTATGAGGGGCGGCACACGTACTGAGGTTTTGGTAAGTCTCAAAGGTGTCCTTGTGTTTCGTGTACTCCACAATGGCTTGACGGCGGTGGAAGATGCTTGAATATCGGGTCGAGCTTGCGAGGGCGTTGACAGCGAGAAGAAGCGCTCGCAAC